GCAGTCTAGAAATTTAACAGATAAATGAATGAACAAATAAACTGAGTCAGCTTTAACATGACAGAAGAGGGAAAAATGACTAAATACATGAGGATGGTTTATATTAACAGCATTGACTTAATTATACTATAATTTGCATGTCAATGAAAAAGAAGCATCTTTTAAAAATAAATATTTAAACATACAAGAACATATTTAAATATTTAAATGTGTTATTGTATATTTAAATATTTATTTAAATAGACAACAGTCGTTCACAAGATGGGCAGTGACAAATCTGATAAATAACTAAATAAGTAAGTAAATACATGCCTTGTTCTCACCCCACTCTAGCAGAAGGTTCTTCCTACCTTAATTGCTGCACTCATCTCCCTGGATCCTGAAGAAGGAGAATACTTGGGGATATTTTACCCGGGAAGCAGCAAAACCTTTGGCAAAGTATGTTGTGATGTTTTCCTTCATAAAATGGTAAAAAGAGGAGTTAGATGGTACTACTGTTGGATGGACTCAGAGTTAGCTGAATGATGGCACCCTAAGAGTGGTCATTAATGGCGTCACTTCAGCTTGGAGGGAAAGATTGAGTGGAGGAACATACACCAATGTCCAGGGCCCCACGTAGTTTGCCATTTTTATCCTTGGATGAAAGGAATTGAGGGGACATTTATCAAGTCTCCAGGTGACACAAAGCTGGGAGGCATGCCTACTACTTTAGATGAAACGGAGAAGATTCAAAAAGATCTAGACAGGCTTGAGCAGTGGACCAAAAAGAATAGGATGGCACTTAATAGGGAGAATATCAAGTTCTGAATCTGGGTAGGAAAAATGTAAGGGACAAGCATAGTATAGAGGAGACATGGTTTGGCAGGAGAACATGTGAAAGGGATCTGACTGTTCTTGATAACCCAAGTTAAATATGAGCCATCAGTGTGATGCTATCTTGGAGTACATTAAAAGGAAGATAGAGCCCAGATCATGGGAATATAGTCTTCCCTGGTCAGATCTCCTTGGGTGTTCTGTGCCCAGTCCTGGGCATCATGGTTCAAAACAGTGTGGTAATTTTCAGTTATTGTGACAATCAGGGAGCACAGTGTTGCCACTTTCATCCTCATCACCATGACTCATCAGGCATGGGTTGGCATATGTTATTCTATGGGCTCAAACCTTCTATCAGGAATTGAACCCACAGCTCTTTGGACTTTAGATGCCTATATGCGGTGCATTAGCAGCTACTCAGGTCCTGGTGCTCAGCAGGTGCGGGAAAGGATACGGGGAGATATGGGAAGAGTTTTCCAATATTTGCAAAGCTGTCACAGAAAAGGAAGTGACTTTCTTCTTTATTACCTCAGGGGACAGCACCAGAACCAGTGAGCTAAAAGTACAAGGAAGGAAGTTCAGATGAGTCATCCGGAGGAACTTCTGAACTCTATGAACTTTTTTTTAAAGTAAATTTTATTAAAAGTTTTAAAAAGAAGATAAAAACTAGCAAAAGCGAATATAAAGTCAAGAAAAAGAAGAAAGGAAAAGGTTTTTTAAAAAATAAAATGTATTAAAAGTTTTTAAAAGAAGATACAAACTGACAAAAACTAATATAAAGTCAAGAAAAAGAAAGAAGGAAAAGAGAACTGTATGTACTGTGAGTCAGTGGAACTAGCTGCCTACGTGATGTCATAAATTCTCCTTTGCTAGGGATTTCCCAACAGAAGCTGGATGATCACCTGTCAAAAATGCTATAGTGAATCCTGCATGGAGCATGGGGTGGGACTAGGTGACCTCTGGGGATCACTTGCAACTTTATGATTTTATTACTCTGGGATTGTTTGAACTACCAGCCTACATTCCAGCGTTGCTTGAGTTTGTGTTTCTCCTCTTTTCTCCTCCTTCGTGAGAATAAGTAGCATGATCTAGGAAGCTATAAAAACATATTCTGGGAAGTCTAAACATAGGGACTGGCTTTAGTCCTTTGATGAAGAAGCCAGGGAGTCTTGGTGGGGTTGCTAAATTGCTGACTCCTGCTTTTGAGCATCTACCAAAGCAGCCCAGGTGTGCTGAGTGTTGCCCTTCCGATATGAAAAAGCATTTATGTTTCCTTATAGTTTTCAATGATTAGCTCAAACTGAAAAGATGCCATGATAATAGAAGATAAGAGAGTCATGTGGGCATGGACAAAATTAGCCATTTGTATTTGCACAATAAACCAATTCATATGTCCTGGGCTTGCCATTCACTAAGGTACACACACACATTGACTAAGGTTATAGTGAATCAAACTTGATATCTTGCGTGAATACAGCTCTTAGGGTCTGCAACTGACCCAGTTAAGCTTGTCGTGAGAACTCAGCTAGGTGGTTATCTTATTTAATCTAATGAAAACTGGCCCAAGTTCACCAACTGAACATGAGCCAACAGTGTGATTCAGCTGCAAAAAGAGCAAATGCAATCCTAGGCTAGTTTAAGCGAAACCGCTTGAGACAAGTGATTGTTCCTCTCTATTTTGGACTGGTCAGATCAGAATACTGCATCCAATTCTGGGCTCCGTATTTTTGGGAGGACATTGATGGACTGGAGTGTGTCTGGAAGAAGGCAATCAACAGTGACGCAACTTTTTTGAAATGGTGCTTTCCTTTTCACCCAGCTCATATTTGAGATCTGAGCCATGCAGGAGAACATTAAAATGCTAAGCCAGGTCATCAGCATGTCATGAAGAAGTTTAGAAGTGAGTGAAACCCTTCTTCTTTAATAATGCAGTTTCTCGCTGTTTTATAAGCAGCAGCAGGGCAGGGCAGGGCAGGGCAGGGCAGGG